AGCATGCTAAATAATGCTGCTTATTGTGGAAAATCAAGCAATTGGAGAAAAGATGGCTCATCGTTTCTGTTAACTCTCTCCTACTTATTTTGTGAACTGGTCAAGTTTGCTAGCTTAAATTCGGAGTAACAAATCAAACGCAGGAATCCTATATTGTGAAAGTGGCAGTGGAAATTGAAAACCCAAGATGCCGTCTAAGCGTCATTTCAAAAAAAAAATTTAATGGAATTGGAGGTCATGCGATACCTCATCTGTACAAGTCTATCCAAATATGTAAAAAACTATGGAACACTCTATTTAAGAGATTTGCACTTTCAGAGAGACATCTTCAAAAGAATAATATCTATATAATATACTATAACGTACTGATGACTTCGGGTCATATCGTCAGTCGTTCCTACAATTGTACGACACCTTTATGAACTCCTTGATTTTCATAGTTTTTCCTGTCGTTCAGAGAGGCAGGGATATTTATAGATTTTTACTGTATTCTGAGGTTATGTTACAAATGTCTATTTGCATCAAACTGTTCAGCTTTCGATTTACATCATCTGTTTTATCAGCCAGAAATTTCCTACAGTTCAGAAAGAATTACATAACCTCACAATATAAAAGCGCTGACGCTGACGCGGAACAGTAGAAATACGCCTTTCTTAAGGAGAGACATGGTAATAATTGTTGTACTCAATATATAAAAGTGATTTTATATCTCTATGTTTATAAAGAGCTCTTAAGGAACTTCAAAATAAGGCATCACATGATCCCGCGTCCAGCCTCCATCTTGACATTTTCAACTGTTATTTTCAGGTTAAGATATAGTAATTTATGTTCCAATTTCATACTTCCTAATTTCAGCTTGCTTATTCGACCCGTTAAAGCAATAAGTTGGGGAGGGGATCTTTCTGAAAAATACTATATCTACAAATGACAACCATCAAAATGCCAAATGTCAGAGGCAGTCATTAAGTGAATTTCGTAGTATTCTGTTTTAAGCAATTAGTGTATCATAAATGTTATTTTTACTAGTCCTAGAAATACTAATAAAGCAAATATGAAGAATACATGTACAATTACATACAATACAATTCTTAGCAATCCAACGTTCAGGGTGATGAAATTTTTATATTAATACAAAGCCAACACCCTGTATATACTCTCATTCGTCTGACCACAGACCACCAACCATGGGCAGCTGTTTCGCGCCATTTGGCTACTAATCAGCACAGTGTAGGCTTGGTCTAGGTGGACAACGAACGAAAGCTGAGTAGGGTAAATGCGGGAGAGTTATCGCGGCGGGAGAGACGCCGCTTTTATCGTATTTCAATGTTAATGCCATGAAGTAGGCAACCGAGTATACCCATGATGAAAGTCGATCGTGTAGTGAACAGTTATGACATCGGACGTGTTTGTTTTTAGAAATATGGCGTGCTATGCCCGAATTTAGGAAGGTAAGATTAAATTTGCATGGCAATTCTAACAAGTGTGGTTTTTTGATTTTTCCAATATTTTGAGGTTTGTTGACACATGTCATGTTATATTTTGGCGCGTTTTAAATGCATATTTTTGAAAAGTGGACGCGGCATCCCTCCCAAGAAAAAGGACGGTTGCCGCATTTTCAGGAAGGAGAGATGCCACATGTTGTTTTCTCAGGGCTGTTGTTTTGCCATGGCTTTTATTAAATGAAAGTTACATTTTATTTTTGCCGAAAGTACCGGTTTCCCTTACACAAAGGTTCAAGCAAAGCGCAACTGTGTTAACATTACCCGAAAATATGACAAAGAGCCTTGACAGTCATAAAACAACCAATGTGGCAGAAAAGAAAAAGAAACTAAAAATACCAAAAAAATGAACAAGCACAACTAGAGGAAGGGTCAAACAAACACCAATGGAGCGACAGCAACGATGAACCTCTGGCCAAAAAGAAAAATTAAAATCGGGAACGCTGCATGGAATGTTTACGAAGCGACAACTAAAAACATGCTTAAAATGGCTACATTTCATTTCTGTACCCCAGAGCTAAACTAGGATAAGTCCATTTTTGTCAAAAATGAGTTTAATATGTTAAGCTTATGATAATATTGTGAATTTTCATTTGCTACATGCAGCGTAAGGAAATTACGACTTTTTAACTCATGTCAAGTCGTGTTCAGTTCAATGCAAGACAAGTATTTCATATATAATTATCTCAGAACTACTTATATGGACTTAACCTAGTCTGGCTCTGAGGTACAGATTTGCACCATGTATGGTGAAGTGTGTAACATCTGTTCTAGACTCGACGAGAAACAAAACATCAAGATTAGTAGTTTTTCAGAGATTCCGATACTGCGGTATCTCTCATTATTCGTTGCGGCATCTCTCCCAGTAGTGTGGGAGAGATACCGATTTTAATAAAAAAAATGTTCTGTGTTTCTTTAGAATTTGAGTTTATTTTTGGATCTCAATAAAGTTTAAAGCAGTACCTGTGTATTGATTTATTTTTAAAGAAAAATGTTAAGAATTAAGAAAATTATACCTATTTTTCAAAAAGTTAGGTTGTTAGTTAGCTAGGTTTGGGGTGGGGCTGATTTATAAGAAAACAAAGGATCACTCGTTAACATAGGAGACGTAAAATGCTATAAAATCTCACGGCCAAGTGAAGACTGTTGTCAAACTGACAAAGATATTCCACGGCTACTTCTATTCAGAACAAAAGCGCTGCACTACTAAGCCGCTTTATGTTGACTGAAGGGGCTCATTTTCCTTGACATTCTGATCGGCTTTTTAAAAGAGATAACCGAAGGGTCAATAGCCATGTGTATATATGCGGCTTCATTTGGAGAGAAAAATATAAATTTCTTTGATCATCTCTGTGCCTAAAGGAGCGCCAGCTCCGCCTTTGGTCAGCTACCTCCTAACAGTAGCCTCTGGCGCTCGTGTTTCTGTGAAGCATATAAAACATATATTTAGCGGTAATTGGTCTCTGGTCGCTTTTCGCATCCTTCCTAATCCAATAATGCCCTTTGTAATTTATTCTTGCGGAGCTTCAACCGGACACCGCCGCGGCCAAACGGCACAACGCAGAGCAGTGCGAAGGTGGAAATGCTTTTCAGGATCAAGCGTATTAGTGCCAACAAGCTTTTCACGGTAATAGGGAATTCTTGGATTTCCAACAAGCAGTGCTCAATCCCCACTCTCATGACTCATCGCAGAGCATAATCTTACTTTATTCTTATTTGTATGCTACATAACGTATGTCCTAAAGGTTTTGGCACAAAATATTTATCGGATTTTTTTTTTAAGAAATTTATCTAAGCGCTAACTAGTTATCATAAATTACAACTCAATACCTAAATTAACTACACTATCGATTTATGTGGAGTGGCCCATTCTGCTCTACCAGCCGCAACTTTTTTCGAACGTTTCTCATAAGACCCTGGAAGGAATTCAGTTCAATTTCTCCCAGTTTTTTAATTGTTCTTCATCTTGGGCTTCCCAGCCTCCATGATGAACCCTCCTAGACAGTTAAGCCTAAAAATCCTCTATTGCGTGAGCCTGCGGTAAGTTGGGAGGATTACCGTTTTCGAGAACAAAAGGTGTGTTGTGTTGTCGCAGCCAGTTTTGGGTATCTCTTGAGTAATGGCATGATATTAGGTCTAGCCAAAACATGATATGTGGTCATTAGCATGATGTTCGTGGACAAACTGAAGCAATTTGGAATGGCAGTTATCAACATAGTTCTGACTATTCAAAGCTTCAACCCTCACTCTTTCCACAAAAGGTTGACATGCATCCCTGTAGAAATTGCGCACCAGACAAGGATTTTATCTGCAAATTTCGTTTTTACGAGGGAACAGAATCACTGAGAGAAAGTGGGCGTGGTTCTCTTTCCCGGTGAATGATATCAAATCGTGCCAGCTGTTAACATTTGGCAAGCAAGCCTGTAGACAGAACCATTTTCAGCAAAATAATACTTACCTGGGTTTCCCATATCACTAAATTTTCCATCACAGAGTCAATTTAGTCTTTATCGATGAGACTGATGGGCGACGGTAAGACTTTCGTACTTTTTTTCTAGAGAATGATTCAGTGAGGCGCTATTCTATTAGCGTTGAGAAATACAGCTTCCAGAAAGGTAAGAGAACCACGCTCACACTCTCTGATCCATTCTATTCCGTAATTTTGAAAATTTGCTCCCTAAGCAATTACAAAAGACGATATTCTAATATTTTTTTAAATTCAGTCAATGGATCCCACAGTAAATATTGTAATGCCCTCGTATAATGAAGTCTGTGTACTAGCGAGTCTTCTTTGTACATCGACTAGAAGATTCGACAGGTGTCCAGGAACATCGTAACCGGAGTTACGCGGCTAGACGTGAGCGGTTGAGGATTCATTGAGGAGCTTCGGTCGACATTGGTAGCATTCTAGCAGTACCGCTGGCTTCTGGGGTCCGTCGAATTCAAAATAAGTGTCCAGGTGCCTCCACCATAGGGACAGTCAGGGGGGTGAAACGTCTTATGGGCGAACTGGCAACACCAAGGTCATTCTCTCCAGACACAAAACACATAAATCTCCAGGCAAAATCTAGGAGACTTTCTTACCAATAGAGTTTAATTTTTGACAAACGACAGTTTGACTTTCCCTGGGAACTTCCATTTTATTTTCATTCTGTGTTTTGAATTGGGTAAGCTACACACTAAATCTTTAATTATTGATTTAATTCCCAATCGAGAAATTATCGTTCATCACCTTCGTATAATGATAGTAATAATAACCTTTGTCATATATTTTTCAATGTAAAACACTTATGATTGTGTGCAGAAATACTTAAGATTGCATACTTCAATAAGCTTGTTTTTCTTTTGTAAAGCAGTCGTCTGGATTTGGGGTTGCCTCTTCGTCAATCGCTACTTTAAAGTACTCATGCAAATATCCTTCTTGCAGAAACTCCTATTTCCACATTGTTCGGAAATCTGCTTGTATATACAAAAATAAAGTATTCCATCATTGTCCGAAAGATGAAAAAACTGTTGCTGCATGGAAGGCAGTTTGTAAGGTATTTCCCACTCGTAAAGTTAGATATCGTAGTAATCCACAAGATCCCTCACGTCACAGATACCATGCAATACCAGTGTCCCCCAATACAGTTTTAAATTCAAATAATACTCATCCTACTAAACCAGGTCCCAGTTCAGTATCTAGAGTCTTATTCAATGACCCTTCTTCTGCAGAGGCTACCACAAATCCAACGCCTTCTGAGCAAAATGAAAATTCCAGTGTTATTCTGGAAGACCAAAACATTGAAATCAGTGGCAGTGGTTCTAGAACAGAATCTAATTATTACTATTATTATTTTTCTTAATAATAATAATGTTTATTGGTCCAATTACAAAGTATGAATATTCTTTTTTTTTAGAGAAGGGGTCTGGCATATTAACAAAATCTGGTACATCAAACAAGTAATTGAGCGCTAAGGAATCAATTATGTGTAAAGTCCACCGGAATGTTTGTTCAAGGCTCTCCAAATTAAAATCAATATTCATTGTCGCTGGGGTTGACAAATCAAACTATTTCAAATTTGTTGAAGGCTGAAAATAACAATTAGATATTTTATGATACTATGGAGGGATCTTAACGAGAAGGGCTTGAATTATTTTCGTTTGAGAAATTTAAATCAAGATTCCCTGAACAATTTATTTGGACAAGTAAGATAGCATGGTATCTTCAATACAAATCCCACCTGTCATTAGTTGTTGCTGCCTTAAAAACAGTAGTTATTAATAATTTCAGCACACCCTTTTCTAAAGGTACATGTGAAATCGATTTTTGTGATACTTTGGTCGATTTCAGTGACTTTTTGGATAAATATGACCAGAGTATTGATACAGTCCTTGATTTAGAATTTAGACCCTGAGATTCTAAGTGACTCTGACATGGAAATAATGGACAGTTCTGTTGAATAGAATCCTTCAAATGGTTATGTAGTTGGGTACATTTTGGACCGACGCAAAATTGATAGTAATTGTGAATCCTGTGCAAGGTTATTTTCTTTGGTTGTCACTGAAAAACATCTATTTGTGACGTTCAAAGAGCATGATGAGGAAAAGCGATTGAAGTATGCAAGTGAAGATTTAATTAACCTGATTGGTCTTCTAGATGAAAAGCAGTATGTATTGTTAGAACTGCATGGTACAGACGAGCAACTGGAAGTTAAATTTAAACGGAAGTATTCCTGCATCCTTCAGAATTACAGCTTTTGTCAGCAGCATGATGTGACAAAAGGTATAATTGAAAAAACTGCTCGGTTGGGACTTTACAAATATGTAGAGAGAAATTCTTTGAAAAGGAGTGGTGAAACTACTAATAGTCATCAACAATTAACAAATTCAAGACAGCTAAAGTCAGGTAATGCTTTTTTATGTAGTCCAGCACTCTTCGTTCATTGAATTTTCTATTTACTTTCAGTAACCAAATACTACTGTGATATTATACCCAAACAATATTTATTTGTGTGATAGTTGCAGCATCCTTGGGAGGGAGCAGTTGGACGAAGAATAATTATTTATTTTGTTACTCCCTGTAAGGTTAAAGCCATCAGGAGGTTTTGGTTTTAAGTGTGAGGAATGTCTTGTTTATTTTTAACTTTCATTCCTTTTTGAAGAAAATTTTCCTCATTTTTACACTATAAAAAATAATGTTTTCTCAAATTATATTTTTATTTCAGTTATTTATTTAACTACAGAGATTTATTTTTTGTTGTTTTAGTATGAATGTTTACGTTTCAGTGATAAATGTACCTCATGATGGATTAACAATAGGTAGTGCTCACTAAACACTTCCTTTGATTACCGAGGGACCCTTTTCATCGTTTTTTATCCTACTAATGTATGATTTGTATTTTTTTTAAACATCACTTATTCACTTAATAACATAGAGAAAGCCCCGGATGTCTAAAAATACCTTTATATATTGTCAATGTACTGTGATGATAAATTATTACTTATTATTATTCATATATTTAACTATGTAATAAATCTTTCATTAATACGCATTTATTTTTTATTATCCCAAAATTAGTTAGCAGCAAAACTGCTGAATCAGGTATTTCCTTTATTGAGGATATTTTATGCGTCTATGCTCATAAAATATTTCTTCAATATGGGCAATATCACTTTCAGCAGATTTTAAGTTGTAAATCAACCAAATCCTCGGCATATTCCTAGCATTCCTAATTTCTGGGCGCATTCTTTGAATTCCTTCGATAGTTCCTCCAGATCTCCAGGCAAATAGGCGGCGCAACCATCTGACAAAACGTCAACGGTGTTGCCGTTGTCTAACGTGCAGCTCCCACTTCTTCATCTTATGTGTTTTGTGGGGACAGTTTTGACGAATAAGGTATATTCTTTAATTCACCGGTTGATTCCATGACTGATGGATCCGATGAACTCATGGTTGACAGCTGATGTGATGACGTTAGCAACCGGTTCCGCTGAATGGTCGTTAATAAAAAGATGCATTTTTAGCATTCAGGTTGCTGTCATATGAGGAAACCTAACCCTTGTTTTATCGTAAATTGATAATTGTTAATTTGAACACCGTATCATTTAAAATCATTATGGAAATGTACTCAGCAGTTGGTATTGTCGTGGAACGTTTGTTAAGCGATTCGAGTGATGATTCTGATGAAGAAGTTATCCAGCGGAGAGAATTTGCTTTCCGAGAATCAGTATAAGAACTGTAATTCAGAGAACCAAGAAATTTTCAGATATCGACGATCTCAAATCAATACGAGGCATTGATCTTCGATGCTTCACGAATAAGAACCATCGATATGGATTTTCTGAGAGCATTCCTGTTTTCATACAGGAATAAAAACAGAACAAAATCAGAAAATCGACATTTTCGGACGAGGTATTGATTTGAGATCGTCGATATGCATAATTGTGCTGAAAAAAACATAAAATTTCACGCGACTCCTATGCTGCTAACTTCAATCTTTTCTTCTTCCATTTTTTCACACAAAACTGTAGTTATCAAAAACTGATAAGATGTAGAGGTTAGAATATCGTGGATCAACCGAGCCCAAACGTCGGTGGATGCTGTTGGCACCGGTGGCATAACCACCACCAATATAGAGACAAGTTAGATGTACAACCTGTCGTTCCAGCGGAAATTAAAGGACCCAAACTTGGCTAACCGGTTGCACCGGTAGCTCAACCGGTGGATTAAAGAATATACCTATAGCGACCGATACATCAACATAGTCTAGACGACGTGATGTTAAATTTGTCGCAAGTGATGTTATAAACTAATGTAGCAGTAATAAATAAGACTTTAGACTTACGATAGAATTCTAAGGCCTAGCTTGGTTAGTTGTTAGATTCGGCACCCATTTTTATCAAGCGCGAATGTTAAAATGTGCGATACATCGAATATTTTCTAATAATGAGCGTTATATTTTGGAAAATGAAAGTAGGGAATATGCAACTCAACAATATGGCTGTTGTAGGTTTTTTCACGGTTTCTGGAGGGTCGCATTAGAAGGCCAAACTACAGGAGTTACTTTGGTACATCAACCTTTCTTACACATACATTTGCAATAAGCCTCTACGCGCAGACGTTTATTTGTGTAAGCTCGCAGGCGTTTTTTTCAATTTTTTGCCTTACTACCTTAAAGATTTTCTTGTTAACGTAGAGTCTTCCACATTTATGCTTGTTACTGTCAGTTGACAAGGTGTTTGTCATGGGCTCCGATTTGAGTTTGTCTCTTGTTGATCTCGGACACAAAGCATATCAGTGCCTGAAGATACAACCACAATGTCGACAGTCTGTGTTAAATGTTTTAAATTGTTTTTAAACGGTAAATGAGAACAACGGGCATCACTTATTTTGTATCGCATCCGCCAAAAATATCGAAGAAACAAAATTATATTACATTCAGTTCAGTATAAATATAGCGGTTTTTAAACATTTTGGCAGCACTGCGATAAATGCCCAGCCATCTAATAAATAAAGACCCAAATCAATGGCGGTTCTTTGACATATGCCGAGTCATCTATGACCAACCAATAAGCCGAGGGCACGCTGTCCTTAACTGGCAGCTTCCCGAGTTAATCGTCATTCACGACCCTCTGGCTTGACCTCAGTGTTACATAATGTGTGCAAGAACAAGCAGCAGTTCCCTTCGTATGAAACTGTGACGTAGTCACCAAAAATCGTGAAAAGAGCTATACTCCATTCAGTTCAGTATGAAGACTGTGAGGTTTAAATTTGGCTGACGTCGTAATGTATACGGGAGAGAAGCGTGCTAGGCAACGAGGTGCTTTTATTTCTTCCTAACATACGTATTAGACACTTCTCTCTCGTACCTATAATGGCGTCAGTGGTATTTGACTTTCAGTGTGTAACAGTTTCTGATCATCTTCTGTCAGTTTGGCAGCACGGCATGGACGCTTTCTCGATAAATGCCCAGCCATCTATGAATGAGCTTTCAAGTCAATGGCGGTTCTTTGACAGATGGCCAAGTCATTTATGAGCAAACCGATAAATAAGGGCACTATGTCCTTAACTGACGGCTTCCCGATTAAAGGTTGATTCTCACTATACATTCCGTTTCCATTCCATATCAGTTTCGTAAACGTTCCGTACAATGTCATTGTATACACAGTATACCTTACGGATAATGTGCATATACACGCCTGCTTTAAGTGAGAGCGAATATTTAATTTCAATAATTTACGGAACGGTTACGGAATGGAAACGGAATGTATAGTGAGAATCAACCTTTAATCGTCATTCACGACCCTTTGGCTCGACCACATAGTTACCTCACTGTTAGTGTTCCGTATACATTGCTATCACATTTGCGAGTTTACCGCTCGCCTCGGGACAAGAAACTGAAATGGAAATGTGTTTCTGTCTGTACGTTCGTGACCCGACAGCGGTCATTGCCGCTTTAACCAGCATCATTCAATTAATCCCGAAAATCAATTCTGCTTCCAAACGAATGTGTATAAAGCAAGGTTTTAGGTTGTGATTGATATTATACGATTAGGCCACAACTCATAAACTATCTCGAAGAATGTGATTCACTCTGTACCAGCAAGCCCAGAGTAATTTTTCGGTATAATGACAGATGCATTGAACTGTTTCGACAATTTCTTCACACATCCCCACACCACATTCAGTATTATCATCAATAAATGTATGCTATCTGAAGATAGCTAGCCCAATGCCATTTTTCGTGTCCGAAAAACTATCAGATAGGAACTGAAAAACCGTTCATCCTCTGTCACAGTAATGTATCTCCATTCCGCGATAATCATAGATATGCTTTGAAAAGGCTACTGTCTCGTAGATGGCGTTGCAGCCAGATGTATATGAGCATATAGCTACAACGCCATCGAGAAAACACTAATCTTTGCAAAGTATACCTACGATTAGCTCACCTGACCAGTCGGTCATCTCGGATAACTTTTTGGAAGCGCGATCATGGCATAAGGTTAGCTACCCTTTAAGGTAGAATACGTTAATCAATGCCTGAGGTTGCATAGCCCCTAGCATGCGCTTTTTCACTATCCCCCAACGAAGCTTAAGTTTTTTACCGAAGCTAATGTTCGGCTATCAACACAATCTGCGACCAAAACCGAATAAGTAAAGCGGTAAAATAACGAAAGTTTTTACACTTAGCTCAGTTTCTTATAAGTTATTTTTTATACTTGAACTACCACGATAAACAAAAGGCGCCCTGGCGCTCATCCGGTTTAGATGAATGGCCGAGCTCTGCCAAAGGTCACTTTAGCTGGTCCGAGTCCAGATCACCGAGGACTTGCCGCTGGGAAAAGGCTACGCTATTTTTTAGGGCTAAGGATTACTTTTTTCCGCGTTACCTCCTCATTCTATACAAGGCCCATATAAGACCTAGCCTCAAGTTTTGCTCACACTTTTGGGGTGCTCCCGCCCCTACTACAATGTTTATGCTCGATGCTGTCCAGAGGAGGGTTGTCCGACTGATCGATGACGCTTCTCTAACATACAGTTTCTTTGTCAGGAGGGTGTCGAGATTGTGGAACAATCTACAAGAGGAAGCTCTTCCCAGTTCTACTAATCTTAGGCAGTTCAGATTTCTTTTGTGTTCTAGCATTTAAGCTTCTGCCTACGCGGCTGCTTTAGTGTAAAAAAATACCATGAAGGCCTAAGGCTTAAATACTTGTAGGTTCCGTGTGGGTTCTTATGTAATTTTGCATCGAACATTTTCAAGGTTACATGAAATGTGATGATGA